CCGATCAATCATTATCTCTAAATTTGCTTTTTTTTTGTTCCAAGGAGGAAATAGCAATTCTAGGATAGATATTCTGATAACTCTGAAGGAGTTTGCCTGCTGATAAATGTGAATAGCTACAGAAGGTCACTCTTTCCCTACAGTACATTTCTGACAGTGTACTGAGCTGAAAAGTGTATGTGTATCTTCCTAATGCTTTAGTTGTAATTTTTTTTTTTTTCTGATTGAAAGAAAAAGCAGAAGTGTTGAGAAAAGTGCAGAATATTTGATCTGTATACTGAGTGTAAAATTATCGGAAATGCAGTGTTCAAAGTTTGTAATGAACTGGTCTTCACTGGCATGTATCATATAGAAACCTGCTGCTCTGATGTAACAAAAGATACAAGTGAATGTATGTAATTATTAGATAGGTAAACAATAGAATATCAATAATAATAATGAGATATTACTGCTTGGTGAGACACTGTTATTAAAATATGTTATTGTAGTTTTTGATTATATTTCTCTTAACAATGCTGAAAGCTTGGGAATCCTCTAAAAAAAGCTAAAAGAATTATTAGAGTTAAAATGCCTCAAGGAAATTAATTTATCCATGACAAAGGTCAGACCATTAGCAAGCTGCCTATTAATAGAATCTGCACAAGGAAGACATTTCTGTTAGTTGACCAGTCTTTAATCTAGAAAAAAAAAAAAAAAAGAGCTGATAAGAAATAGAGGCTAAAGCTGTTCAAATTTAAAGTAGTAATAAGAATAAAGATTTTAACCAGAGAGAGAGATCAGCGGTCATTGGAGCAGTACCATGGATGACATGGTTTTCACCTTTTTTTTGTCAATTAATTTAATTTCTGAAATACTGTTTTTTTAGAGAGCTTACACAGCTTTTCATCAAATATTGTTCTGGTGCCAGTGTTGATTTTCTTCTTTACCTTTCCCAGGTCTCTGTTCATGTCCACAAACAAACTTAAGCACAAGTTCTTGATTGCTGAAATTCACTAAGTGAAAATGAACCCTTTTCTGAAAAGTTCAGTTGAACAGATCAGATTTTGGAATGTAGAAAATGATTGGGTAGGGTCCTATGGTGTGTTTACACAGAGGTATAATTACATTTTACTAATGTTTTCTCCTTCTCCCAAAATGCATTAATATTTGGGGGGGAAGGAGGTTCTCTTTATTGATAAGGTAGTCCCTGCTGTCACTGTGGCAAAACTTCTCCTCTCTGCTCCTTATTTCACATTCCTCAGTGACCTCAAGAGATTCTCTATTTGTTTTTGATGCTTCCAGGATGTTCTACTCCACAGCTCTCTACCCCCTTTTTTATTCTTTAAATTGAGTTTCATATTGTGACAGCTGTCATTTCTGGGTTTGAACAGAAATTTTTCCAGCTAGAATGTCACTTCAAGATGAATCTTTACTGTATTTGGAAGAGACTAGCTCTGGTTTAGAATAACAACAGTAATTTTGCCTATAAGTAGACTATCAGACCCTCCAAAGAAAACTCCCAAATTTTCTTTCCAAGGTGCATAATAAAGCAGAAACATAAATTTGGAACTGAAGTGTAAATTAGATTTGAATGAGAAGCAGGGCAGGTGGTAGAATTTTGACTAACTCTACTGAAATTTGTGTAACATGGAAAGCAGATTTCATTTACAGCTGATGATTCAATAGGAACTCAGCTGCTGGCATCTGACCTTTTGTTTTGTACTATCCCACTCATTCTGAGGGCCCAGACACCAAGTAAATAACAACAGGTACTTGGCCAGCATTCACATGTTCTAGATTGGACTGTCCTTCCTTATTGATCTTGTTTTAGTTGGAAACTACTGACCTAATTTGCTTTCCTTCCCTACTGATAAGGACGCCTGTACAGTCTGTAACTGTGCTCATCATGCTTACACTGAAAGGCAGGTGTACTTTATGCCAGGATAAACTGTTGTCAGGTTCTGTGACTCAGCAGGTACATGGATAACCTTTGCTAGTAGGGCAGTGCAAGGAAGAGAGTTTTAGAAGTAGATAAGCAAAGAAATCTTTTGTATCATTGATGATCAAATGTTTATATTTCAGAAGAGTAAGAGTTAAATGCTGATGGAGTATGTGATACCATTACCACCTCCAAACCCCAAATGTCACAGTTTCTTCACAGACAGGAAGCAGAGAAAAAGATCTCAAGCTTTTCTTGATTTGTTTGTTCAAATTTATTTAAGTGAAGCTCTGTGCTCTCATATATAGCCTTCCACTCAGGTTTGAGTACACTCTGTGTTCATCACGTCTCACATGAATGCCTCACTATGAAAAGATGAAATAACTGAGTGTAATTCCTATTTTTAATCCAGTTTGTCTTGAATGCAATACATGTTTAAACTTCCATATTATATAAATTGATCTGATAAATGTAATTTTTCTGTGTGAAAGAATGTCTGAAATTCCATATGCAGTTAGTATTCCACACATGTGGAAATGCCCAGTAATCTCATTTCTAATACTGATTTTTTGCTGTGTACAGAAAGGTGCTATGTACGGAAAGGCCCATGGGCCTTGCACAGGTTTAGTCTCGCAAGCAGTTTCAAAATATCAGGTAGCTTTGCAGGTATTTTTTTACACAGCCATTCTAAGATGGTGTTTATTACTCTTTCAGTCCTTACCAATGAGCATTTAAAGAAATACAGCCAAAAATAATACAAACCCTTGGGTGTTGTACTGCTCAGGAGAAGTTGTACAGCTTTCCTCTTTGACTTTGCTAGTTAAATTTTCACTTGAAGATAATGAAACTTGGATACTATTCTATTAAAGCCGGATGTGCTTAGCTAAAAAAGAAGTATTTTATAAGTTTGTTTTGCTGGGCTGTAGGTGGAAAGCACAGCTGAGATCACACTTCTCAAAATATCAGTTGATTGCTCTGCGATACCTGTTTGTCTCTTTCCTGATTGGGTAGAGCTGTTGCTGGGCTGATATCATTTTGACCAAAATTAGAAAGTCAATATAAACGAGTCAAACTAGATTGCCTGCTTTTTTCAGTTCTCTCTTCTGATTCATCAGTTGTTTGTTTCAAATTTTTACAGCCTTTGTGAGTTGGGTGTTGTGCCAGCAAAGGTGAAAGCTCTTAGTGGTTAGTCATTAAGAATATTCATAAAAAATTGTCATGATGACATTTAGATCCTGACAAAAATATGATACCTAGTTAAAAAAAAAAAGAAGTTGAAGTGGGTCCTAGAGAGTGATATTATTAAATACATGGATGTGGAAACCATTTCCTCACTTAGGAGACTGCTGCTTCTCATGTTCAGGCACAGCACTCATCTTCCTGAGAGGATGTCATTGCCAGTGTCTTGTGGCAGAGACTTAAGACCTGTGTAAGAAATGTACTGATGAAGACATGTATCAGAGAAGGAGCTGCTGCCTAAAAATGTTTTTTCCTTCAGTATTAGCTTGTATACTTTAACAAATTAGACTGTGCCTGGTTAACTTATATTACTAATACCAGGGAGGCTTAGAATATGTGTAAATATAATTATGATATTTGAAGAAAAACAGCATATGAACTGAATAGCAAAATTCTAAGTTAGTGCAAGTACAGGAAGTTGGCAGCTAAAGGTAGATGGTTTTCATGTACTTGAAGAAATGCTGTTACTTTACCTGCACAATTAAGCCTAAAGCTACAGACTTATTTTAAAAATGAGTAGGTTTTGATGCAAGTGACAGAAAGAAGTGTTTTAAGTAGTTTAAACTTGAGTTACTTTAGACTTTGAGAATTTATTTTTTTCTTGTTACATTCTGGTGGATAAGAAAAAGATGGAGATGTTGAATGACATTCAGTTAGGATCCACTAGTCTTGCCACTAAAAGGTTGTATCTCAGTATGTACAAAATGAAGGTCAGGCTAGAAAGTGCTTTAGGAGAGCAACTTGGTTAAATCATGAGATCTCAAGATACCTTATAAAAATAGAAAGTAGGTCTCATTCAGCAATGATAAAAATAAAAGGGTAGGAAGAACATATAAGATCAGAAAAAAACCCCAACCCAACAGAGCACAATATGAGGTGCAACTACAAAGGGACATAAAAAGAAGCAAAACTTTTTATAGTACAGTGAGAAGACAACAAGAAAATAATTGCTCTGGTGTTCAGAAGAAGGTGAGCATTACTGACAGATACCACTGTGAATAGTGAAGTGTGAAAGGCCTTTTTACTTTTTTTGCTTCTTTTTCTGAAAGTGTTATGTATGACCAAATGAATAATCTCTACTTCAGTCTGGATTCTTTTATCACTAAAAAACAAGCTGAAGCATATTAAATGTCATCAAACCAGCTGATGAAATTTACCTTTTGGTGTTTACAAAAGGACAGAGAGGGGATCCCAGTCTCTGGGATTCTTGAAAAGTTGTGAAGAATTGCAAGGTTTTAGGATGCTGGTTTTTAAAAGAAGAAAGAGGAGGAACTGGGGAGTGACAGACCAGTCAATTTAGATTATATTTCTGGCAAAAATCTGGAACAAATAATTAATCTATCTGTAAGCAATTAGAATGAACAACAAAATGAATAAAACCTAATTTGGATTTAACAAATCAAGGGGAATGAGTTTAACCTCTTCAGTAGTTAGGAAAGGAAAGGTTGTGGTCTCTGCCCATCACAGCCGACACTTGCTTACTTGAAGGATTAGTAAAATTCTGGCCCATATGATTATTCTAGTTATATAAAGTGTGGTTTTAAGACGTTTTAAGATTACTGTGGGCTTTGTAAAAATAGATGACCTGTACTAAGTATATCCCATTAGTAATTACTCCAGTGCTATACTAGTTCTGTCAGATGTTTTTGATTTCTTCTGTAAATCAGGTTATGAAAATCAGTAGCATAAAAAATTATTTCTAGTTGCTGTGTTTGGCATTCCTTCAGTTGTTCTGCATGTGCTGTTATCTGAATTGGAAAGCAAATGAAGTATTATCGTCTTTTTAAGCAGCTGCCACCTTCTGATGTTTTCCATGTAATACGGTTTGTTTATTTTGTTACAGGATTTGGTTATCCGTGTCATCTTCATTCTTGGCAATTTAACAGCAAAGAACGACCAATCCCGGGAGCAATTTTTTAAAGAAAAAGAAAGTGTTAACATCTTGACATCAGTATTCCAAACCTACTATGATCTTGATTTGAACGCACCAACAGGGCACCGTGATAGAAAAGGAAAAAACCACCTAAAGCATCCTTCAGAAGCAGAAGATGTTCTGATAAAACTGATAAGAGTGCTGGCCAACCTCTCCATTCACCCTAAAGTAGGCGCAGCTCTGGCAGCTGCCCATCCTGTTGTAGGATTACTTGTTGGAGTACTGGGTAATAAAATTTATGTTGTTCTTGTTATCTTTGCTCAGCCTGTAAGGAGAGTTTAGGACTCCCCATTGCAAAAAAACCCCAAAGTCAATTGGCTGATATTCATAAATTGTTTTATGTAGAAGGCCTGCTTGAAACAGTGGAAGCATTGCTGCTTTGGTACTGACTTTTCAGTATCTGGGGAAAGATGTTGTAGAAGTCTTAAATTCAGTGATCAGATTTGCAAATAGGATCATTAAAGGTAAGAAAACAAATTTTATTTTAAACACATCTCACTGAGAGTTAATATGTAAGGAATGTTTGTTCTTATCAGGTGCTATATAGATATGTTTGTTGGTAGTTGGATTTTTTTTAAGGTTTGCATTTTTTGTGACTGTTTTGGATTAAGTATTGTTTCTGTTCTCTCCACCCACAAATTTCAGCCTCTTCTAAAAATGTTCTCTTTTTTCTTCTTTTTCAGTCTTTCAACCTTTTATCTCTTTCATATGGAAGAGAGTGTCTTCCTCCAAACGGAGGATTAGGACTGCAGTTCCTTTACCACTTACTGATCCCCTTGTAAATCTAATTACAGACCAGGGCTGGTCTGTTCTCCCCATAGCAGAGTTTAGCTGTGACAAGATACATCTTAAACAGCTCAGTATATTTTACTGTGTAATGAGAACATTAAATATTACATGAAGATAATCTGCCTGATTTGTACACTGTTTTACCAGTCATCAGGGATGAGACAAGTCAGACTCACAACTTGGTTCTGTCACAATGAAATTGTCTTAATGTCTTAATGATTGTGTAAGTGCTTTTGACCTGCAAAGCTTCTGTCTGTCACCCTCTCCTCTTCTTGAGCACTCTGTCAGTCAGTTTACTACAAAATGTTCTGTCTCCCTATGAACTTTACCCCTCTTTTATTTCCTTCACTCTTGGCTTCTGAGGCCAGAGACCTCAAACAAGTAAATCTTTCAGACTTTTACATGGGTTAACATTCTGTCAGGAAATGTAAGAGAAAAATCCTCCAAATATTGTTGAAGAGGTTTTTTCAATTTTTTTTCCTAAATACCTGACAGTTCAGTGTAATAGCCCTTGGCATTCCTCCATGTCTGTTACGCAGCCCTGTTTCTGCATGAGGATTCTCCTCAGTGCCATCTTAAAACAGCTAACAGGATTTGTGAAATGTCTTAACCAACTAAATTTTAAACTATGTTGCCTGAGTCACAATGATTTCTGTAAATTAATGGTGGGAAAGAGTGGTTTTGTAGTGCCATTTTTGAATCAGGTGTTCCTGTTAGCTTCTGCCATGTTACTGAACAACAGAAGGTTTGACTGTAATAGTGGCTGTGTAAACTATTACTCAGTTTGCTTCTGGGACCTAATGCACTGCAAAATTAGACATGTGTGTGTGTGTGTTTATTTACATATGCATATGTTTTGGGATTTTTTACTCTCAGAATACAAGTCAGTCGATGCCTGTGAAGAGCTGGTCATCAATGCTGCAACAGCAATCAACAATTTGTCCTACTACCAAGTGAAGAATTCTGCAGTTCAAGACAAGAAGCTACACATTGCTGAAAGTAAGGACTTTTAAACTAGTACTTTTTAAATAGGTTTTAGAAAGCAGAAACATTTTGACACAAGAGAAAGTAAAGACACTGATAACATTTTGTGGTATGACATTGCAGGAGTATAAAGTTCATAGGGCTAAATTCTTTCAATAATGATTTCCCTTTTTTTTTTTTTGAAAATAACACTATGACTTACATGAAAATAGTTTGGTTCTTCACAAAACCCCTTCTTTTCCTCTGCAAAGGAATTTGCTGAATTGTTTTCTGCTTAGCAATTTTTGCTAGATTTGTTCAAAATCCATATACCTGAGCTAAAATAATCATGTTGCTTTTTCCTCCTAATCACAGTATGGCAAGAAGGGTTTTTTTCTTCTTCTTTCTTTCTTTCTATATCTGTAAAATTTGATTTCTGTCTGTTTCTGGCTTCTAAATCCATTGGCAATATTATATGAGTGATTCTCTCCCCTCTGACATTATGGACAATAATCAGTTATGTGTAGGATCTGCGCTGACTTCTGGGACTCTTGTGTTTATTTTGTACAAAAGGTAGAGAGTCTGTGTCTTGCACATCTCTCCATCTAAATAGACAAGACGCTGGGGAGACACAGAACCAGAAGTTTGCACAACAGGTGGAATGAGGAATAGAAAAAATATCCTGGTTGTCAGCCCAGTGCCTGGACTGGTAGACATCATATTCTCTGTAGGTAACAGCTCTGCTGTTCTGTCACAACTCATTTTATCACCTATAAGCCAGCTGCCTCTTGTTTCTGGTTGGAAACAAATTACTTCTCTCCTGTCCTATTTGTTGGCATGTGGAACTAGTCCCACATACCTTCCCGAGCTGTGGAGAGAGGAAACCTTTTGATGGGAAACCAGCAGGCTTTCTGCTCCTGCAGACGTTTTGAGAATACTTGCTGTTTGATATGAGTGGTGGACAAAATCCCTTCAGATATCTCTTTAAGACAAGTTTAAGATGTGTCAGTATTGCAACATCCAGAGGCTGAAGTAATGAGAACAAAGCCAACCTCCCTTCTATTTTTTTTTCTCTCTTCTGTTGTATGAAGGGCTAAGGGTTGACCTATTTGAATCTTCTGTATGATGGACTGATTTCAGTGCTTTGCTGTGTTCACAGAAGACTGATAAATGTAACTTCTGTAACATCACTCCTCTGCCATGCACCAAAATCCTCCATGGTGGTAGCTCTTTCTAGGAAGTGCTGAAGGTCTCATTCCTACTGCTGAAGTACACACTGATCATATGTGAAACTGCTAAGGAGAAAAGCAGCAAGGAAGTGAATGCTTCAGATTGGGGCAATATTAAGTAGCTGTTCAGAGAAAATGTGTTTGCTTGTTATAGCAGCAGTGAGAGAAAACAGAGCTAATGTCAGAAAATAATTCGAGTTTTAGGAGACATCCCACCATAAGACCATCTGTTCAGGATCTAAATCAATTCTCTTATATATTACAACAGTTTTTAAATTATGTCTTCCTGGATTTTCACATGAGCCCACTCAAAACTGCATAGCAGAACTGGCTCCCATTATTACAACTGTGCTTAGACTGTCTCCATAACTCCTCATTTGTTCCTTTGCATTTAGTCCCATATTGGAGCTCTTTATTTTATCTTCAAAGCCCTACACAATTTCATTCCGGTTCTGCCATCAGCTCACCCCCTTCTCTGCCACCAGACAGACAGACAACTGCTCCCATTTATTGCATTTATCTCTGTTGCTGTTTGCATTCTGATATTCACTGATAAAAAAAACAAACAAACAAACATGTATTTGTGATTTACAAGTAATTATTTTTATTCAATTTCTCTGCAAACCAATAGTGCTTTTAAAGCTGTTAATGAGTGACAATATGGATGCAGTTCTGGAGGCTGTCAGAGTCTTTGGCAATCTTTCCCAGCATCATGAGATCCGTGACTTCATCATGCAGAAAAAGAGTGAGTTACTTTTGCATTTGTAGGAGTTCTAGCATTTTAAATGTCCATGGTTCTAAGAAGAAAACATTGTTAATAAGCTGTCTCAGTTAAAGGGTAGAAGCAATCTTCCCTGATGTTTTGCAAATTAGGCAATAATAGTCATTGTAAACATCATTTTATTTCAGTTTCATTAAAATGGAAATATTGGAGTAGGAAAAATATGCCATGGTACTTTCACAAAAGTAAGTAGTACAAAAACTGTTTTTCCTTCAGTTTCGAATCTGAAATTTCCCTTTACTCAAATTGCTTTTCAGATTCTACAGGTTAGTAGTGATATGATATAAAATGAAAATCCTACTAAAATCTCATTTAGGTTCCTAATCTCAGATTTTTGATTCCCATATTTAACAGCTTGTTAGCACTTCGTAACACGCATCTAGGATTTGACTGTCTCAGCAAAGACCTCCTATTTGCCTAGGGGTGAAGTAGGATACAAGTCTTCTCAAGTCCTTTTGCTTTGGGTATCTAAAGAGCTTTGGGAAAAATGGCAACTCCTTGCTATCCACAGAAGCTGTGTCATCAGCTTAGACACCAGTTCACTGTAATTTTTTTTTTTTCTTTTTTTTTTTTTTTTGGTCTGCCTCTTGACGCTAAAAGTGAGGTGATCATGCCACGGTACGCAGCTCTTTATTCCATGGAACATCATTTATGGAACATCACCGTGACCCTTAGTAGCTGGTTCCTGGTGAACAGTCTCAGTCAAAGAATTAAATTTTCCAGCTGGGAGAGACTGAGGTGTTGGTATGCCAAGCTCAGGAATTGCTGAGAGGCTTCCTCTCAAGTGAGGCCAGCCCAGCTCCCTGGCTGGGGTTGGCTCCACAGCTCTGCAGGCAGTGCCAGCAGGTGCTGCAGGGCACTGCATGTCTGTGCCTGGCTCCCACAGGAGCCCTAGGCTGCTGCACTTCCAGCTGGACTTGGAGCAGACTGGGGCAACCCTGCCCTCACAGGGGAAATAACTTCCCCCTATGAGGGCCAGATGCCAAATTCTTGCAGTTTCTGCTGACTGTGAGATGGTAAGGGGGGGTTATACTTTCAAGAAGTAAACTGCAATTCAGTTTGGTCAAATTAGCCTCTTCTGACAGGATTTTCATGTACTTTGGTGTATTTTTATTACTTGAATTTCTGGTTTGTTGTTTTAAAGGAAACTGGTGTGCAGCATGATGTTACTCTGTCATGTGCCTCCTCTGCAAATGTCAGTAATACACTACAAGGGTGAACTTTTGGATAGGGTATCTGTCATTTGTCTGCTTTCTAATAAGTATGTTGTTATGGCACTTGTATGGTAAATCCATCTTCCTAGTAACACTATTTCCTTCTTTACAATCCAGTATACAAGTTCATGATTGCTTTGCTGGATTCCAAGAACCGAGAGGTCTGTTTTCCTGCCTGTGGAGTTCTGCTCAATCTCACCGTAGATGAGGACAAACGAGCTTTTCTGATGGAAGAAGGAGGAATTGGAAAGTAAGTTCCTGATTGTGCTTGAGTGAAGGCAATTTCCAGTAGTTTGGCCAAAAAGTTTCAATTGGATTCTTTTTTACTGGGCCCAGTAGCTTGTAATACAGCATAGTAAATACTTAGTATCTAAAGTTCTTGGAGAACAAGCCTTTCATAGGAGCCAAACCCCACAGAAAAGTCTCCCAAAGATTCTCTGTGATGTACACAGCAGAGGATACCATAGAAGAAAGCAACTAAGGCTTGGCTTTGCAGCAGCTGCTTGTGCTTGGCTTAACTGGATCCTAGGTGGGCTACAGTGAACAGCACAGTCACTGTGTGTCTGGCGCAAGTGTGAAGGTACTTCAGGAACTGATATCCCACATGGTCCCTTGGAATTTTTGTAACCACTTGGTTCTGTAGGGAAAAACAGCTGATGTAGCCCTGCTCGGCAGAGAACAGCTCCGGAGTCTCCTCTCTCTGGGGGTTCAAGTTCAAGGCACTGTAACATTGTAAGGGATATTAGACCTTGAAAAACCACTGTGGATGCAACACTTGTGGCTTTGATGTTCAGATAATAGCAGATCCAGCTTAATTGGAGCAACATGAAAGATCATGTTCCTGTGCTTGTAAAGCGGTTGATACAGCCCACAGTTATGAAACAATATGCTTCACTTTGAAATACTTTCCTGTTCATACATCATATAATTACTTTTTTATACACCGTAAATAATGCATAGTCTTCTCGTCCTTCCTTCTCATGTTCTAGTTAACTTACAGTATTAAGCTGGAAAAGGAGAATAAAAATAAGTTGCTGGCAAATTGAATAATAAATGTGAGAAATTTCTATTATATAGAATATTTTGTAGCCTATAGAATGATGTAAATTCAGAATTTTCTATACTGCATCTGAAAATTTGTGAGGGAAAGAACAAAAAGCAGTAACCCCATGGAATGAATCTAGAGAATTTGGAAGTGATTATTAAGGAGATCATCCTGACTGTGCCAAACTAGCTCTATGGATTTTTGGAACTGAGGTTATTGTACCCATACATAGTGGCCCAAAAAAAATAGGGAATTAGCCTCATCAGAGGGTTAAATTTAAAAAAAAAAAAAAAATAGGGCAAGTTCTTTTGGCTTTTCGTTAGATGCCTCCTGTTGTTCCACAATGACTGCCTTCAGAGAGGAGGAAAAAAGCAAACCTCTTTTTAGGTGGTCTTCAATGACCCTTTTCTTCAGCCATACCTGAATATAGTAGTTATTCTTTACTAATCAACAGATTATAAATCTCTCTGTGAAGTGGAGAAGTGAGGGAAGGAGGAAGGTCCTAAGGTTGAAGAAGAGCACAGCAGTGAAGGATTACTACTGGAGAGGTCACCAGGGTCAGCAGGTGGAAGAGGTTTACTTCTGCAGGCTCAAGACCTGGTGGAAGAGGTTTACTTCTGCAGTTTGGAAATGGGAGCTCTGGATAGCTATTGTCTGTAAGCTGGTGCAGGCAGAAAAGTTACAGCTTCATTTCAGAGTCCTGTTTAGGATCCAGCCTGAATCTGGTGTCTGCAAGGAAGGGAGCTGGGGAGAAAGGTCTGGAACCTAATGGTCCTTAATAAAACAGGCATTTCTGAGAGGAGTCCCTTAGGAGTACAGACTGAGGAAGTGCAAGAATGGGTGAGATCTGCAAAACTGTGAGACTTTGCTGAATGTGAAAGGTAATTCTCTGATCATGGAAGTAGCAAATTCCTTTGGATTTGTTTTTGTTTTGGTGAGATGATCTGATGTGTAGTAAGATGGATATTCTGACTGAAGCTTTTTCTGCATGCCTGCCATCTTTTCCAGATGAATCATTGGTGCCTGATAAAGTTTGGCTTAGATTGCAATCTCTGCTTTGGTAGTAGCCACAGATTTGGGACAGTCACAGATTGTAATGAAATTTGATGGAATTTTAGTATCTTTGAAATGGTTACATTTACAAAGTATGTGAGTGAATTCGGTCAGTTGGGTTAGAAATTTACAGAGGATTGGCAGCTGCAGGCAGGCACACACATATGTGTAGACAAAAGGCATGTCCACATCCTTGGGGAGCTACACTAAATGAAAAGGGGGAAGTTGCTGAGGAAGAAAATAGCATCTGAACTTTATTATTGTAGAATTTTCCTGCAAGCTTCCATGGAACTTGCTTACATTTCTAGACTGCCAGATTTTGAAGAGCTCAGGAGAAAATTCCATGGAACAAACCACTGTTTTGTTTGGTACTGACAGGTTGGTTGACTGCTTACAAGACTTTGGGCCAGCAGACTGGCAGCTCTCGTGTTTGATCTGCAAAACCCTGTGGAACTACAGCGAGAGCATGAGGAGCGCGGCCTCCTGCTTCAGAGGAGACACCAACACGCTGCTGGTGCTGCTCACAGCGCTTCTAGGTGAGACTTGTAGTCTTGGTTTCTATTCCTCAATGAAAGAAATGGAAGGAGCAAAATGAAAGCAGGATTAGTTTGGGTGGGAAGTCTGTCCTGCAGCTTTCAGTGGCTGGCCGGTGTGGACTGTCCAGCAGCACAGTGGTCCCTGTGCAGCACACACTGGGCCCCTGGGGATCCTGGCATTTCTGGGGTGCAGCAGGCTGACTTTGCTCTCTGGCCAAGGGAGCAGATGAGAACAGCAAGCAAGCTCAATTGCTTGCAATGAACAAGCAAGCTCATTGCTCCACAAAGGCTGAAAGGTGAATGTAAGGACCTTGATTTGCCTTACCCAGTGGGATCTTTTCATCTGGGCATTTACTTTTGCTTCAGATTTTACAGAGTTTAGTGGCTGTGTAATAGTCCTGTAGTCAGTATATGTAATTTTCCTATTTTACAGAGTTTAGTGGCTGTGTAATAGTCCTGTAGTCAGTATATGTAATTTTCCTCCTTTAGTTTTTGAGCACTGCTTTGCTTATGATTTTGTTTTGGGTAGGTCGCTAGCAATTATCTTAAAAAAAAAAAGATCTTTAAAATAGAAATTAAATTGAAGGAAATTAACTATGTTTGACATGGTTTTAGTTGCAAATTGAGTAAAGATGTATACTTACTGTCAGACCCAGACAGAATATGAACTCTTTTGTTGTAGACAATCAGAAAAGTGGGTGGATTTGTAGGGATTTTTTTTCTAGTTACAGCAGAATTACTGATAATCACTGATGTAATAGTTCCTTGTATTACATTCCTTGCTATGATGGATTTTATCTTAACGTGTGCAGTAATTCCATTTGTTTATCTGAAAATAGCAGTGTTTCAAGGTTATTACTGCACTTTTTAACATTCTGCAGGGGACCTGCAAACTTTACAGCCACAATCATGTTTGAATTTTCTGGCACACGCTGAGGGGTATATATCTTTGTTTTAGAAAGCATGCACTTATTTTTTCCCTCTGCATTTAACACTGCTTATTGAAGTCATTGATTTGACTGCAGAGTCCAAGGCTGGATAGCAGTTGTAACTCTCATTGAATAGTATAACTTTCATGAGCTGGAAGTTCATGTACAATTGCAATTGCAGTTACAGTTGAGATTGTAATGCAGCTGTAATTGTAATTAATTAGGAATAGGTTAGAATTAAATCAGAAGGCCAGTCATTCTTCACAGTGTAGTCAGAAGAGGAGCTGTAGAAAAAGCACATCTTATTCATTGGATCTGGTTCCTCTGTGTGCAGAGAGCCAACAAACCTTAGTAACAGCAGCTGGTTAATATTGTCCTACATCTTCCTCCTCCCATTGTGTCCAGTAACAGCCTTGAACCGTCATTGCTCTGATTCTATCATTCAGGAAGCAGGAGGCAACTGCTGACAGCCAGTGAACTGTACTTGAGCGTCAGCACACCCTCAGGAAGCGGAAAAAGTGGAGCATGGCACAGCAGACACCTCGCTTCACCTGCTGTGCTTGGCCTCCTCCCCTTTATTTTTCCCTCCCCAATCTGGCCCAGGATGACAAAAGATACAAGGAAGCAAAAGGGACTGGAAATGGCCTAAAAAGATGTTGTGCCCAAGAGAAAGGCTGGACAAAGGGCATTATTTGTTTTGCTTTTCCCCTGACTGATCCCAGCAGCCTGGGATGCAGTGGCCCTGCTCTCCAATGGCACTTGTCATTCACCTTCTTTCAGCTGCTCTTGAGTTGCCTGTCACTCTGCTGGCTCAGAGCTTCTGGAGGCTGCTGTTCCCAGGCTCCTTCCAGCAGCTTTGCCTTAGCCCAGGCCCTCATGAGCAGCGGTGGAAATTAGCTTCTGTCTTGGGAACATTCTTCTGTTTGGTCTTTCACTGAAGAGAAAGTTTCTCCCTCTCTCTCCCGACTTTTTTCTTGTGCTTTTACCTCCACTGTCAATTCCAGGACATTATTTTGGAATCTCAGTCTATGTGAACTTTTACATGACATGACAGAGCTTCCAGGGCTGCCTTGCTGGTGTTTCAAGGATGGGCAGCCCTTGCAGACTGCAGGAGTCTGCACTCCAGTCTCCAGTTTCCCCCACAGTATGCAGGCCCAGTGTGTTTGTCTTGTTCCTGGGCTTGCAGCCAGCACATATGCTCTTTGGCCAGGACCCAATATTGCTGGTTTTTGAGGACAGTTGTGGGAAAATTAAATTATCTGAGGATGCACAGCTTGCATACAGAACACTGATCCTTGCTGATCCACAGCATTACTCACATTCTGCTTTGGGAAATTTACTGTTTCAGTTCAACACTTGAGCTTTGAACTGCTTCTGACCCTTGTTCTTGTAGGCTGGAATTCTCGACCTCAGTGATTCCGTAAATATTCAGTTGACTTCTCGGGAGCACAGCTGTCTAATAAAAGGGAGAAAAGCCTCTCACTCTGTGTTAGAACAGAGTTAATTTGGGTAGAAAAAGCCAGGAGCAGGCAAAGCAATTCTCCTTGAAAACAAGCCCATAATCCCTTATTTTCCACTTCAGGGTCTCTGGCTTCTATGCTGCTGAGATTGATTTTAGGTATGTTGGGTTACTGTGCCATTGATAGGACAAGAGCTAATGGGCACAGGTTGCAATAAGACAAAATTCCAATTAAACACTGGGAAAAGAGATTTCCATCGTGGCAGGGCTTAAGCACAGGAACAGGCTGCTGTCCTAGAAGGTGTTCAGTGTTCAACAGTACATGGTCTAGAGCAAACTGATACATGGTGACTCTGCTCCAGAGGTTTTTCCCAACCTAAATTATCCTATGACACTATCAAATATAGATTTGATGTCACAGGCTGGATTTTATCTCTGATTACAAGTTTTCTTCCTGCAGAGATATGACATCCTTCTTGAAAGAGTGGGTGCTGTTTTCCTCTTTATTTTATTACAGAAAGACTCTAAATTAATCTCCTTACAAAGAACCCCTTTTGGAATCTTTCTCACAATCAGTCTCTCTTTAATTTTGGTAGTTGCAGTGTAGTGGCACAGGAGCCAAGCACTGTTTGCAGTTGCTGGTAACTGTGTGTGAGCTGGAGCCCATCTCCACACACAGGAATATCATTTCCTCCTTCATACCTGTCTCAGCTCAGGCCATCTGGTCTGCACAGGCATTTTGGCATGCTTTTGGATCAGAGTAAGTGCTGTTGGAGCATCTCTTTTCTACACAAACTCTGACTCAAAATGTGGGTAACTGAAGTTTCTCCTCAGCCCCAAGTTTCCCTTTACCTGCTGTGACTGTGCAATAAGCTCCCTTACAGAGTTATTAACACATTGTGAACCTGGTGCTTTTTCGTAGTGTAGGCCAAGGGTTTAATATTGCCCATTTGGAGCAGGATTCTACTTTCATTTTAGGCCTAAAGGCTGTCAAATATCCTTCTGTTAAACTGTGTGAAATCATTTGTTCAGCATTATCAGTTGTGTTTGTAGATTCCTGATTCAGGAGAATGGTTCTGGTTGCAGACTGATTTCTGTTTTCTCCATGAATTTGTTTCTTTGCCACATCCAGTGCCAAGCAAAATGCAGGAGGAAAAATGACAGATGACTTCCTTTCATTCCTAACATTGTCTTCAATAAAGACTGTCCTGTTGTTCTATTTTTGAAATTCGTGAGGAAGGGAGGGCATCAGTAAATACAACTAGTGTGCTTCAAGTTCCTTCAGTGAGAGAGTAGGTAGAGTTTGAAAGAGTGTCCAGATTTGCAGAGCAATTTGGGACAGGAAAAACATACTGTAGTTTGGTGAATGCATTGCTTACCTCAGCAAAACTGCTGTGGGCAGTGCTAAACCCTGGGTACTTTCCAGTCTGACAGTCACAGTAAATGATCAATCTCAGAGACAGTTTTTGTCTGGGAGACATCTGTGAGGTATGAGAATAAAAGAACCTGCAGTACCATTTTCACTGTTCTACTGACCTTACCATCCTTTATTTTCAATTAAATCTAAGACCCTCAGACAGTGATGTTTAACTTCTTTCAAGTGCTGTTGTTTTTAAGCCATCAGCATTCAGAGCTGGTTAGCTGTATGTGTCACAAAATACATAGTTGAGTGTATTTTTATTTGGAACTGATGACGCTGTTTTCCTTGATTACAGATGAAGAGGTAGAGTTGGAATGCAGCCTTGACAGAGATATAAAGGACTGCCAAAGAGTTTATTGGGAAAGAGAGTTCAAACCCGTGGCAGAAAAACTTCTTGACAGAATTCAAAGCCATCACTCTTCAGCTGAGTCTATCACTCCATTTTAATCAGTCGAGAGTTTTTTTGTCAGGTAAATTGTATATTTTTAATATACCTGTACCATTGGTAAGCTTGTTGGAGAGCATGACTATTTAAAAAATAAAAGTCAGGAAAGTGTGGCATTTATGTGCTGGATGCTATCTTTTGAAGAGCTTGTATGAAATTTTTGCATGTGTAATTGCCTTTTACAATATACTTGAGCTGACGAAGCAGCTGTTCAGTGTGACTTGCCTGGTAATTGCATTGTTTCTTGACTGGAAAAATGAAACAACAATATTTGCTGAACTTCTAATTTTTAAAAGGTAAGTTATGAGTGAGTACTGGGACCTCTGTGGTACCAAAAATGCTGTGCAAACAAATGTTATATGACAGGAGCCGCATCTCACCTGCAGACTTTGACACTTTTATCTTAAGGAACTTCTGTGACAGAGTAACCAGCTGCTATTGGGGCATTTTCCTGTTCATTGTTCAGATTGAACACTGTCGGTGGTCAGGGAAAGTCAACCCTCTTTCCTTGGGAGATTCCCCTTCCTTCTGACATTGGGTGCTAGGGTCTAGGCAGCTGGCCCAGCTGCTGCCTTGGTGCCTGTGGGATGTAGGTTCTCATCTTTCCTGAACTGGGACTTCGCATCTTTAGGCAAAGCACCCATATCCCTGATGTCAGAGATTCTACCTTCTTTCAGTTGGCCCCACACTCCCAGGAGCCGCCTGTGTGCCTTTACTTCTCAGATTTCTTGGCCAGCTATCTCCTCTGAATCTGTGTCTTCTTCTGTGGGGCCATAACAGGCCTCTTGCTCCCTTTTTCTCCTGACTGCTGCTGGCTTGTTTATTGCTCAGTTTTCATCCTTCCAGCGTGTAAAAGTCCCTGCTTGTAGCCCATGGATTAGCTCCACGGGCACATCACTGGCCTCGAGCGCTAACAGCCCAGTTGGCCACAGTGAGCTTTATAGACCTGACCTATTTCTCTCTTTGCTGACCTCAGATTCCTAGGAACAAACTGCTGTGCAGGGGCTGCCGGGCTCCTGCTCCCGCGGGTCAGCAGCATTGCGCTGGGCCGTGCACAGCAGGAGCAGCTGCAGCCCAGCACTCCCAGGAGAGGCTGGGGGAATTTGTTGGGAGGCAGCGATTCAGAGCTCCCTCAGTGGCACCGTTCTCTCTACCTTTGGTAGTGCCCAGACCTCTGCTTCCAGGTGAGAAGAGGAAGCGAAGAGGTTGGGAAGTAAAGCCATAGTAGAAGGGCAGCGAGACGTTTTTCCTAGTTTAGATCCCTGCTTTTACAAGGAAAGGGAGATTTTGTGGTCCAGGTTTTGGGAATGGTGAGGAGGAAACTGGTGAAAATGAACAGTTGCTCCATTCTTTGTGTCTCAGCAACTCACGTTACTTTTGTCCAGCAAGGTTCAGCCCTGCTTTGGGAGTTTGTGTGGTGGCAGCCTCTGTCACTGCAATCCACGGGAGAGAAGTGCTCAGCATTCAGTGTGGTTTGGCTCCAACAACAGCTCTGCTCAGCTCAAAAATATCTCAATTATCAATCCCTTCTTTTGCCATTTTAATTTTAGCTGAAGTTGAAGGGAAGATAAATGGCTGCAATGTCCCATTTGTAGCTGGGAGAAAAGAATGGATTTGCTTTGAGAGTACTAAAGAAAGGATGATGGGTAAGTAGTCCCTGTGGGGAAGAAACTGGAGGCATTTGTTCCTGGCATTTGTGTCACAGCAAGGCAGGCAAACCCCCAGTTGTGCAGGACAGGGTGGGGGCACTGGAAAAGGCCCCCGTGGCCAAGCCCTGTCAGCAGGACTAACCAGAACTGACAAGGGCCAAGTCTCTGTCAGAAGGCAGCTGAAAACTGATGGCTGGCTCAGGTCAAGGTGGTGCTTGGGAAATTAAAATTTGTTCAAATACAATACTAATGATGTCAGTTAGTACTGATCAAACTGTAACCAAGAGCCTGAAGCACTGTGTCAGCAGCACAGGGCAGAGCTGGGGATCCTGTGGCAGCCACCATGTGTGAGCTCTGGCCTTTGTGCAGGAATAGGCATGTTCAGAGGAGCTGGATTGAGAAAAGAGGGTGGCACAGGACTCTTGAGCACACCTCCCATCAAGCCCTACCAGCCTCTGTTTTTCTCTGGTGAAAACCCTGTGAGTAGTAAGAAACAGCCCCAGAATGCTGGATTTCAGGTGTCTTCCTATAGCATTGTTTACCATTTGGGTATCTCTGCCACAGACCTGTGCAGCAGCTCTCTCGTGTTCTGGAGCCCACTCCTGTTTCCCCCTTGGGAGAGCTGCCAGCACCGCAGCTGAGCTACATGAGAGGCTGCTGCACTTCACAGGCTGGGCTGGGGCTCTGCTGGAGCTGCCCTGGAGTACTGGGCAGGGAGTTGGGTTTGCTGGCAGGTTGTGGCTTGTGCTCTGATGGCAGCTGTCACCAGATGAAGCCATTCATACACAGATCTGCTGCAGTGTTCACTGCTTGAAAAGCGAGAGGGCACTTGGATGCGGCTGGAGAGCGTAAGGTGGCAACGGCCAGTTTAGGTTTCTTGGCAAAATTCATGTCTACCTTTGATTCAGAAAGAAACTGTTCACAGACTGGAAAGGCACAGCTCAGCTATACAATGCCCTCAAGACAGGAAAGTTTTGCTCTGTTTTTGGAACATTAAAAATCCTGTATTTTCAGTTAAGAGGAAGCACCAGATGCTTCCTGTTAGTCACAATTTTTGACAGTTTATTAATCTTTCTCCCCTAGATCTTTTTAGATATTTTAGCTTCTTGGACTGTAAACTTTAAACTGTTTTCAGAAGGTTCTGTGGAAAGAGAAACCAGTCTGAGCCGAGACCCAGGCCAGAGGACGGAAATTAAACTGATGCCACTTGTGGGCTTGGGAAAATCCATTTCACAGAATCACAGAAAATCACAGAATCAGCTGAGTTGGAAAGGACCCATCAGCATCATCGAGTCCAACTGCTGGCTCTGCACCACACACCCCAAGAAACACACCTTGTGCCTGAGAGCTTTGTCCAAATGGGTGAAAATATCTGCAGTACAGGAGAGGTGTCCCCACTACAGTTCGTCAACCTCTGTTTTTATACTTTTCCTCCCACCATTTTAGACTTGCTTAAAAAATTCATGTCTCTTGCATTTTACTGTTTTTGCTCAGATACTGTTTCAAACTTTTTAAATGGTCTCAGAACCAGTAAGAACAGAAGTTTAAAGTTAAACCACACAGAAACACCAAGAGAAAAAGTTGTTACCTTTATTTCAAAAATACCTGTAATACTGACAAATTTAAAAAGCAATTCACACTCATACAAAAGTATTCATGTGTTCTCCAAAACAATTGTATATTAAACGTCAGCATTTTAATCACGTTTTGATTTACTAAAAATAGATGTTTTTTAGCCTAGTTATTTAAGCAACTGCAAAAATCATTAAGACCAGCGTTGGGCATGTAATACAGTAGGACTGTTTGGCAGTCTAGAACAACATTCCCACACCTTGTCCCAGCTCCTTTTTGGTTCATCCGTGAAAAGGAGGACAAGAAGCTACTCGACACTTTGTGTAGGTAGATCTCTAAGAAGCTCTGAGGACTCCAGCCCCCTTCTTTCCATAGGAAGACCATTGCACTTTGGAGCTCACAAAATAATGCTGAACAAACATCCTGTTTTTAAGGCTAAACTAGTTGAGAAAATTGACTGCTATCTTTCAAATTATCAGTGTGGACAGAGAGGTTTAGTTCTGATTAAACAGGCAATCTAAATAACAAGGCTTTTTTGAAACCACACACAGTAAAGGCTCAGACAATAGCAGTGCTCACTTCCACTTCTAGCTCAACTGGAACAGCCTGGGTCTGTTCACTCCACCTGCACAAATAGCAGCATCAAGATTTTCTAAAATTATTCTCATAGGGAAAGCAAATGTCACCAAGTCCCAGTTCTTTTCGCGCTCCGACTCCCGCAGCATTTGCCTTAACACAAGATCTATGTATCTATGGTTTGCTATATTGCCACAAGTTCAGAGAATGTCCCGGGCTGTCTAAAGCCAAAATACCATGAGCAGGCAGCACTTCTGCACAACCCTGTCTGTCAACTGCCAAGCGTTCGCTGCTCAGTGGCAGCAATGATATTCCAAACATGGAAACAGCTGAAACTAAAGGAGTTATGGCACAATGGGCATCTTAACTTATAGCTACTGTTGGTCCTGAGGCTTCGTATCTTCCTCTGCCACACTGCAGCTGCAGAACATTCCAACGTCGACAGGCAGCCAGAGACATCAGGTCATATAGCGAGTAATAGCTCTCAGAGCATAAAGTAGTTCGGCTTGCATCCGAGCTTCTACCAGAAGCAAATTTACATGGACCTTCAGGAGAGAGAAGTTACGCTTTAGGCACCGTGCTCACCACCACGTGCTGCAGCCAAAGGAAGCCTTGGGGCTGTAGGCGTTGTGCTGGTGCAGCAGCAGGGGAGCACTGCCCCTGTCACCACCCAGACCTTGCTGTGGAGCTCACTGAGGGCGCAGAGGAACCAATGCCACACCTGGTACTGAGGCACAGCACAGCACTGGCTCACAGGAACTGTTAGGCAGGGCCAGGGCCATGGGAAGAGGAAACCATCCTTTAGCAGACCAGCTGTTTTAGCTGGCAAAAACAGACAAGCTTTCAAGCGCACAAGCCCTTTTTCAGCAGCACAATATGCACAGCTTGTTCAGTTTTAATGAGGCCAGCGATAAAAGGAAGAAGGGCAGTGAGTACCTGTGGAGCAGAGATGGGTGCTAGCAAAAGCAGAGGTGATAGAGACATTTGCCACTGGGGACTGAGAGAGAAACACATAGGCAGCTACCACCTGAACAACACAGAGTGGTTGTCCAAGGTGATGCACCAGAAAAACTCTCAAGTGTTGTAAACCTGCTGTCTCTGCTGAGACACAGGTGTTCAGTAGCTGCTGGAGGTTAAGAATTTGAGTTCCCCACATTGTCTCCTCCATGCCTTCATTGCATCTCTTTGAGGACGAGATCAGAAACTTGGGTGGGGGGAGGGTGTGAAAGTATTTTCTCACTGACAGCAGGTTGCTGTGAGTTTGCTCTGGCCTGTAAGGGTTGTGTGTGGTTTTATTTGCATGATCTTCATGAGGATGTATGGTCATTGCGTTCAGTAATACTTACATGAATGAGCCTTGGATTTTGATGGCTATGGAGATGCAAAGTTTTGGGCTTTAAAGAAGGATTTATGTGCTTGGAAAGCTTGTCTATCACAGTCTAACCAAAACATAGGCAGTGTTGAACAATCTTACATCATTGTAGTTATAGGACCCTGCTTTAAGGGGTTTATCAAGAATTAGAGCCTCTAATCATATGAGCTAATCATATGAGTTAATTATTTCTGCATCTTTATGTTTCAGCATTGACTTAAGGCAAGGCCAAGAAATACCTTTCCAAAGAAAAACTGAAGAACGTAAACTTAGTGATTCAATATCTGGGAGTTAACAGCAGGAAATGTGACTGGAAGGTGCAATTCAGACTGTAAGCCAGCAGCAGAGCTTTTAGCCTTTAACAAAGGAACTACTTTGGGGCTATCCATGCCAGAAGGACTGGGGACTGGAAAGACCTTGGGCCAGCCAGAGAGCTGTTCCAGGTCTGCTGCCAAGGGATGGATGGATCTTGCACCACTTCCCTGCCTCTCCAGGATACAGGCAAGCAGCTGAGGTGAAGCTCTACCATTCTCATGTCTAACCCCCTGTACTGCTCAGAGCTTGCCCAGTCCATGTCAGCTGTTAGCCAGTACACAGGCAGGAGGAAAGGGGAGATTATTTCAGCCTGGAAGCATGACACTTCCCAATGACTTGACTGTGAGCAGAACCTCAGGAGCATCAGCTAAAGCTTAAGCTGTGTGGCTGTGTCTGTCAGGGAGACACTGATCTGGGGCCCGTGGCTATCCCTCAGCATGCACACCAACTGTACCTTCTCAGAGTGTTCAAACTGTCTCCAGAAGCTATCATACATTCTTTTTGTGGTCTTTTCAGGAGTGCAAACCACAGTCTTGATATAAACTTTAAAGCTGCGGTCCAACAACTGATTAATTTCACCATAGTCATAATCATCGTATCTGTTTGGAATTGAAAGAAGAACACTTTCATTTTTGAGCAGCAGTTGAAACACTTGCATTGTTTCTACATTCCTGTGGCAAAACAAATTACTGGGTAAGTGTAGCACTAGCGGCCCTCCCCCATAAACAAAAATATGTTTAAAAATACATGCATGTTTACTTAATAAATACTTCTGGTTCAACCCAAGAAAGAAAAGCCAGTGTGTTTAGAACAAAACCAGTAAAACTGACCTTATTCCAAACATACAATGAATATAGTTCCAAATAGCTCGTCTTAGCATTGAGGTATCCACATCTTTGTGCATGGCCATTGTGTTGTACGTCAGATTATAAGCAATATGGAACTTCTCATCAAGTAGTTGTCCCACATCTGGATAAAGACGATTAACTAAGGAATAGCCATGGTCTTCCCAGGAATAATCCTTAAAAAAAGCAAAAATGCAGAATGAAGCATTTCAGAAACGAACTTTTGAAGACCCAGAGCTTTAATATAGTTACAGATGGCAGGGCAGATAATCCACTGGGGGTGGGGGTTGTTCATTTGCCGGCTTTAAGCCTCACCCACGGGGCAGTGAGAGCACAGCCATTTCCAGGTTTGGTATCTGCCACAACGAGCAGGTTGTTCCCTAAGCCTCCTGATGGCAGCCCCCAGCTTTTTACCTGAACGCGGAAGGTGGGCACGTGCATTCCGTGTCTGGAGAAGTCTTTGTAACCATAGCTGGTATCCTCAAAGTGACGAGACACATCTCTTGTTGCTGCAGACTCTTCATCTTCTGTTAATGTCAAACAGAATTTCACACAAATTGGAAAGAACAAATTGTAAGTGTATGAGCAGAAGAATGGGTCTCTGCTTTTTAATCAAACACATTTTCACTGGACTGCTGATATTGAGATTTTCTGGCATGGCTCTATGACTGCAGCTATGGTGTTCAGAGGCAATTCCATGAAAAACACTCAGGTTTGTTCTTACAAACATATTTTTCTCCCTTCTGCTGTCCTGCAGTCTTCACCCTATCCCCTGAATCTAGGGGATGTTTTCCCCCCATAACTCAAGAGGTCTGTAAAAATGTCAGGGGAGAAACCTGGGTTGGAACAAATACCTCATTAAAAGAGAGACTTCTGAAACTTCCACACCAAGTTTGTCTTTGAGGAAATTGTATTGAAGAGCCCATGACAACCCTAAACTTGCAATAGATTAAGTATTGTCTCTCAGTCATCTGAAAAGTAATGTTTCATTCACTTAAATAGAAAAGTGTGTCAAGTGTCTTGTATTTACAGTATAAATCTTGGCACTACTTTACTTTTAAGTATTCTTGGAAGAAAACAAGGCACCCCTAATCTTGATTCCTTCAAAGAAATAGTATTGTTTGTGAGACATCTAATAGCACTTCTTTCCCCTTTTGCAGGAGTATTTCTTCAAATAATTTGGAAAAGTCTTAATAAACACATATACAGACTATATCTGCGCTACCTGAAGAACACACGAACATGCTTTCTCTCTTCTCTCTTTCAAAACGTGTGGCCATCTCTTCTTGGCTGGCTTCCTCTTCATCTCTGCACTCCTGCAGCTGCTTCATTTTCTCCATAAGAGCTTCAACTTCACAGACAGACTCTGTAGACTAAAAAGAAGAGAAAGACATTTTATTTTCATGCAACAGAAACTGACAATGATGGCAGAAACTGCCAAGCCAGAAACTTTAAACACAACTGAAGTCCTTTACATCTTTAAATACAGATTTTTCCAGGAACACAGTTTTTGAAAGAAACCTTTACTGACCCAATGGTTTACACTGAGTCATAATCTTTTCTCAATTAGATCCCTGGTAATTTTAGCATGATTTAAAAATCACAGCATTTTGGAACTAGTTGTTCTCACACTAAAATTAGTTTCTCTTAGTCTAAATGTTCAGCAATTGAAAAACAAGGAGCTGTAACAGAAATTCTGGTAGAGGAAGTAACAACAATTTACCACCCAACTGTATTTTTCCTCTCCTCTGCTCACAGAGAAGAAACATTGAAGGAAAAAGCAATGGTGAGTATAAATGCAGATTTAACAAAGCCTCAAAAGAAAGCCAAGATAATCGTCTTTCACAAGAGCTATCTTAACACCACAAGAATTCAGTAATAGATCTTGTGAACCTTCATCAGCACCAAATTAAAGTAAAATTAATTTATACAGTCCTGCCCCCTTCCTCCCTGCCTTTTGCAGTTTTCTTCTTCAGAGATCCAGCAAGCTCCATCAAACAAATTTAAATGCCACCCACACCACTGCATTAAAATATCACAGGCAAGGATCTTGCAGTGAGAACACCTTCATGGCTGTTCTTAAACCAGCACTTAGTTCACATCATGCTTTTCACCAAGGGAAAAGAAGTCCAGATCAGCCTAACAGCTGCAGGCAGGAAAGAGTGTTTTATAGAGTCACAAAGTTGTGAATGATCTGTTAAGAATGATCTGTTGTGTGATGCATGACAAACACCTCAAGGCAGTAAAGTCAGAGCCTGGAATCAAAGGAAGAGCCAACTTTCCACTGCAGGATGGAAAAAAGCATTCCTGGCCACTGCTGCTCAGGACACGTGTCATGAACTAGCTGAGGCTGGGACTCATCTCAGTTCACCTTTATGAATGATAGGCAGAAAAAAAAGACAACAGAGATTGTGTCTCCGGAAAGTTTCTCCCTTTGGTAGCTTTTCCCAGCTTCCCAATACCATTTCAACTCCTCCTAAATGCATTTTCTCAATGCCTACATCTGGATTAGACTCATCAATCCCACTCTCAAAGAATGAAGAGACAGGCACCCTCCACATGTTGAGTTTACAAAGAAATTACTAATATTGGAAGAGATTGTGAAGACACTTACTAGAATACTTCCAGCTGGGCTGGCATGGATTTCATCCACCCCGTGGTAACCATTTGTTATATCACATATGCAATAGTTACTGACAGAGGGGGGCCTGAAGGTGTGACCCCCTTCACAGTCGATCTCTGGGCTGATCCCACAGCCAAACGTGAAGGAAGCAAGGGAGTGGTAGTGTGTAAGGAGAACGACTGCATGGATCAGCTCTGCCAGGGACCAGCTGTTCTCTTCAGTCTTCAAAAGTTGCTTTAAAAATAATGCAAGACAATAGTATTAAAGTAATTAATTTGACCCCACCTTAATGCAGTTTATCAACACATTTCTTTGTCAGCTAAAATTATTTTTCCAACATCCAAACATGTGTTCTTAACTCTCTGCTGCCATTAGTGTGCTCAGTGACCCGTTACCAGGTGACCTGCCAGACACAGACCTGTGTGGTTAAGCCACGAAGGACACAGCTTCTCTCCCCTCTCTGTCCCAGGGCAATTGAGTGAGTTGGGGTTTCTCTTTTGCACCATGTGGTTTCTCTCGAGGCCATACTGACTTGCATTGGAATTTCACACCACTGATGAAGATACAACCACGACTGCTGCATGTTGGTTCAAATGGGCTTTACAGCATAAGAAAACCCAGGCAACTCCCTGCAGATCAGCTGTTGTAAAAACTTGGCACCCGGGCCAGGCTCCCTCCATCTTGTCCCTGTGGGTGGAATGCTCTAGATTCGACAAGAAGCTTCAAACCCCAACTTCCCCTTCAGGCAGGAAAGTGTGGGAGGTTTGGGGCCTTCTGGCAGAGCGTGTGCCCTCCCCCACAGCACAGCGTCCTGCCTCCAGCTGGACCTGCCACCACCTCTCACCAGGCCAGGCAGCACCAAGGAAGTCACAGCACCCTCCTGGCTCCTTGCTGTGGGCACAGAGGAGAGCATAAGAAGCAGTCCCTTGGTGGTTTGTTGGTGCTGCAGTCCTGGTTGTCCTGTACCACCACTACTCCCGTGGGCAGCTCTGCCAGCCTGCTCCCTCCATCCCAGCCTGAAAACAGCATTTGAACTGGCAGCAAGCCAGACAAAAATGTGGTGGCCGGTGTTCTGCCTGACCTCTGGCAGCATTTCAGAAACACCCAGGGGTTCTGGCTACTGAAAGCACTAAGCTTGGGGAGGGAGGTGCTCTCCTGAGCATATTGTCATTGCACCAACAGAATTCCAACATGACAGGGAAATTTCAGCGTGTTGCAAATTAAATTTGTTGCTCATTTAAGAACAGTTATGATCCTGTTAGTTTTACACAACAGGTCACAAGTGATACTATATCATGCAGTGTTGTAGCACTGAAATCAAAATCATTACCACAAAACATCTTTCACCCTGTCTGGCTCTGAATCTCAAGAATCTGTGAATGCTTTACTGAAAAAAGGGGACATTCACATTACTCCATGGAAGACCTACCTCGATATGTTCCTTGGTGATAAGCCAGGGTCGGTGAGCCAGCATTTTATTCAGTTCTCCTAAATTTTGCAATTTTTGAGGTGCATTTTCCAGACCATTCAACCATTTAGGGTCTCCACCAACATGAAGGAAGTCATTCACATGGAGGTTAACAAGGTAAGAGCACTGATGTCGTGCTGCAGCCTAGAAAGGAAAGCAATGTGATGCAGAAAACAATTAGTACTTTATGACAAATATCATAAGCCATCGTTTCCTCAAAACATCCAAGAATAAGACTTGCACTGATTCAAGACTCAGTTAAAAAGAAGATTTTCAAGATGAACATATGAGCTTGTTTTGATTATTTTTCTCACAACATAAATATCCCTTGTTCATACACACCGTCATTATACTGGCCACAGGTACAACATGCCTATATCCAGGGAGAAATACAGGCATGGATTTATTACATGTCCTGAAGCAAGTAATCCATACTGCATCATACTCCCCACGGGGGAAGAAGCTGTCTCTAGCTGCATCTTTACCAGCAACAATCAAAAACAGGTTTTAGATTGCATATAGCAAGAGAGACTACGGGCAGCTTCTCAGCAAAGAAAGCCCCAGTATCATTTGCTCCAACCCTTTCTACATCAAATTAAGACACAGCTCAAAATTTTAATTCAGTGTCAGCAAGCAAAGATCATTGAACTGGCAGATTATAAATTAGAAATCAACCACTTTTGGCAGAAAACTTGCTTAGAATGTACACATTCAGAAATGCACAATGGGACTGACTATTGAGTTAGAGAGGGGTGTATGTGACAGGACACACACACACAAAAACAGGCTTTCTTGAGAAACAGTTTCTGAGATTCTAAGGAAGCCAATAACAATTCTCTCATTTCTATAGCACACTTTTCCCCTTTTTCTCCAAGTCCTACCAAATCCATGAACATGAAATGCTGTTCTTCCGAAACCATCTGTAAAGCAGACATCAGCAAACCTACTCTGCTTTTCCCTTAGCTGCTGGTGAAATGCCTTTCCAGCTAGAAACTGCAAAACAGGTTAACAGCTGCTCTCAGACAGGACTCGAGCCGCGGCCAGCGTGGCGGTTTCTGCCTGGTGCGTACCATTATCCCGATGTAGTGCCGGTAATGGAGTGGGAGCGGGCCATCCATTTGCAGGAGATAGTGCTGAGTTTTTAGAAAGCTTTCAAGATACTGAGGGTGGAAAACCATCACCAAGGTGACGTTGTCCAGTCGGCCCAGCGTGGCAAAAGACTCTGCAAACAGCGTGTGCATTGTGGCGTCCTCCTTTCCCACCTGAATTGTCTGATTGGAGAGAAAGAGCAATGAGCAATCTTGTCCAAGTACTACCAATAAAATAGCAAATAAATATATTACCATAGCACCCAGAGGCCCCAAGTGAAAGGAATTATACTATAAATCTATTAATGGTGTTAAATCAGTGCACATAAGGGACATTAAATCCCTGTAATACCTCTCATTTAGGAGATCACAAGTGGTTATATCAGCAAAAGGAGATTTTTGGATTTAGTCTCTCTCTAATACAACACTGACTTCTCATTTTTAACTATCTCACCTTCACTTTCTCGAATGCCCCAGGTTGAGCTTAGTTTATTGTAACTAAAAGGTAATTGAATCATCACTTTTACTAATGGAAAAAGAGGGAAATAAGTAAAAAGCTAGCTAAGATGGCAAGAGAGAAAAAAAAGGAAACTGAAAAAGACTAAAATTCCTAGAAAAACACGGACATATTACTAACTTTTCCTCTGCTCCCGATTCTCTTACCAGATGATCAGGAGAGAAGCAGCAGAAATGCTCATCCACAGCACTCTGAAGCTTCTCAGATTCTTCAGAGTGGCAGAGGCAGCTCAAGAAAAAGCAGTCCCAGAGCAGAGGGGCAGGTACCTTGTGGACCAGTAGGAAATTACATCCGGATGTTCACAAGGAAACAGTATTGGGTTTCTCTCATGCTAGATAGCAGCATGGGAGGGGTCATAACTATTCCAAAGCTTCCCAAGGCTCTCACTGTTCTGTACACTAGAACTGTGGCCAAAGTCTCAGGACTGAATGTGATCACTACTGAAAATGTTTTGCAGTTCAGCAGCTGTCCTGAAACCAGTGTGGGCTACTACTAAAATGATGTTCCTTAAAAGCATGAAGTTCACTATGTACT